GTCAAGATATTCAGGATGGTTGGTTGGCCTGTCCTTCCCTCCACTTGCCTGCTAAAAGTACGAATAATTTAGGCACCTTATTCTTTCACTGCACACTCCAGCTATAGTCAAGGTATTCAGGATGGTTGGTTGGCCTGTCCTTCCACCACTTGTCTGCTAAAAGTACGAAAAGTTTAGCCACCCTATTTTCCTGTAACATTAAAGGCACTGTAGTGTTGAAAGTATGATTCATAACTGTACATACATGAATAACCAATTCAAGATGACTGTTTCTGTCAGTATGCTATATTCCCTACTGGCTGCCTCCAGTCCTGAACGTCCAGCCAAAGCCAATCAGTAACATGATAGATGTGGGAGCTCAAGTTCAACAGGTCATCAACGTCGAGTGTCGCGGTGTCTTCTTTGAGCCTGTCCTTCTGGAAATCAAATTCCAGTCAGTTTATGTTCCTCCTCTCTCTCTCTCTCTCTCTTTACCTATTGCTTCTCCTTTCTCTTCTTTCTCTCTCTCTTTCTTCTCCCTATTTGTATATTGTTCATCTCCTTTCTACAGCCTCTTTACTTTTCAGGGCTGTACAATGCTTATTGCGCACACTATAATCAGTTCATAATATTATTATAATAATTATTCCTCCCTCACAGTATGTCAGGGGCACCCCATCATCTCGTCCTCAAACTGCCTGTCATGTTCTTCAAGTTCATGGAGCCCGTTACCATGACGTCACAGGACTTCTTCCAGAGATGGAAACAGCTGCAGACGTGAGTCATTCTCTATTTAGAGCCCACCTCAGCCCTCACTATTTCTTCCGATAACGAACAATCTATAACCATACAACAATAGTATGTTTTGTGTGCGTCTATACATTGGTGCATGTGCAACATGAGCGGATCTTAGGCCGCGAAATTTTAACCAAACAAAATTGAATTTTTGCTATGCAGTTTTGATTTTTGAGGTGTTTTATACGTACGTATGTATGTATTTATGACATGTAGATACATACGTATACTCTGTGACTGTGCAGGTCGACGCAAGAAGCTCAGAGGATATTTCCTGCCAAGTTCCCCATCGAAAAGGAAAAGAGTGGAGCCAAGGTAACTGTATGGTGTATATTACCACTGCACACTCCAGCTATAGTCGAGGTATTCAGGATGGTTGGTTGGCCTGTCCTTCCCCCACTTGCTTGCTAAAAGTATATACGAAAAGTTTAGGCCACCCTATTTTCCATGGTCACTCCTGAGGATTATTTGCACTGCACTCTCCAGATATAGTCAAGGTATCAGGATGGTTGGTTGGCCTGTCCTTCCACCACTTGCTTGCTAAAAGTATATACGAAAAGTTTAGGCCACCCTATTTTCCATAGTCACTCCTGAGGATTATTTGCACTGCACTCTCCAGATATAGTCAAGGTATTCAGGATGGTTGGTTGGCCTGTCCTTCCACCCACTTGCTTGCTAAAAGTTTAGATCACCCTATTTTCCGCAGTCGTGTTACTATGAATATGTGATAAGAGTAGAAGAGTGCAGTGTTAGCAGTAAGTGTAGTATGAGTCCTTGTTCCAGTACTTCACAGAGAGTAGTATTGTCCAGTGCTGCCTTCTTTGACTGTGGCCACTACAGTCTGTTGAGACACTGCACACACAGAAATGTGTAACATCAGCTTCTTCCCTCCCTCCCTCTTTCTCTCGCCTTCTCTCCCTCCCCCTCCTCTCTTTCTCTCGCCTTCTTCCCCTCACCTCCTCGTTTTTCTCGCCTTCTTCCCCTCCCATCCTCTCTTTCTCCCTGTTGCTTTCCCTACACATCCCTTTAAGCATAAGAGCATGGTTTAGGCATTGTGGGTCCCCTGGCCTTGAGAACCAGGGGTGGTGGATTAAAGAAATCTTTGACCACCGGTGAACTCTGCCCACTCACCCGAGCCAAGCCTTTCTCTTGGCCGGCACTGCCCAGACTCCTTATACATTTAACAGATACACACACACACACACACACACACACCCTGCAGCTCGACACTGTTTTCAGCACAGTTTTCAACGAAGACCCACTGATCACTGACAGTAACGACAAAAAACAAAGAGTTACATAGACACACGTGAGGAAGGTTTGCTTTACCATTCTCTCCCCCTCTCTCTCTCTCCAGCTGGCTGGGTTTGGATTCTCTGTCCTGGAGGGAGTCGACCCTAACCCTGCAAACTGCGTGTCTGCCGGTGTCATCAACACTTCCTCCGTCCTCATTGGATGTCTGCTCAGACTGGAACCCAATATTGACAGCAAGGTGGGTCGTCATTTTGTCGAAATAATTCAGCACATTTTGAGCTAGTAGCTCGAGAGGCACGCACATGCAGAGCATTAGTTCCACGATTGCAAAGTTAACATTCTCTGTGCCAGTACTCCCTAGGAGGAAGACTTAGTCAAATACTGACAGCAGGGCCTGTCTTCATTCACTCATTTGACATAGCTTGAGAGCTGCGCACCAGAGAGTGTTTAGTTTTTTTTTGATTGCAAGGCTGAGACCCTCGTGATTACCATCATTATAGCGGGAAACTTGCTATGGAAAAACAGTTCGTGTTTCAGAATTTCGCGGATTAATGCCCATAAACCACGAATTCTCCAAAGAAAAAATTTGAAAATTAAGTCCACGCTAAAGCCACTCTCCCTCCCTCTCCCTCCCTCCTGCAGATGTATCGACTGACAGTTCGTACGTCAAACGACAAAGTTACCGAACACCTCTGCTCCGTGCTGTCAGAACAGTTCTAGTGGCTGATATTACACCATATTACGTAACAACTTCGCTGATCGTCATGGAGCTTTTTTGAGAGTTGATCATTGTACTAGTTAGGAATAGCCAAAATTTATTCGAGTTTCGTTCTTTATTTGCATGCACCTCTATTTTTCCATTATTATTGCTGTTAAAAAAACATGCATGAACTATAATATTGATTAGATGTTCGTGTTGCTTTGTGGAAGTGTATAATTATGTTAATTCTTGTAAAGATGGCATTTTGCGACAAAGAAGTTGGAGCAGTTGTTACGCATGCGCGAGAGATGTATTATGCATCGTCAGCAAAGCTCCGCCTGCTGTGGTTGCGACGCGGAGTAGCGAAGTCTCGGGATGGAGCTGCACGTTATGAACGGAGGATGTGCGAAATTCGACGGCCGGCGGAGAGCGAGATGCGGAGGGGGAGTTCCAACGAGACGAGACGGACGGAGATCCGTCACTTGCGCTGGGTGCCGCTCTCGCGCGTTCTGCAGCCCTCGGCGATGAGAACAGGTCTTCAGCACTGCTAGGGAATGAACGGAAGAAGAGAAGTTGCCGTTCGAAGACGCTGCACCGCCTCACACAGCGGAAGATTTCCCTGCTGGTCATACTGCTGCCGCTGGGGAAGACGAGAAAGATGAAGTGGAGTATTACTGCGGAGCCGGGCCTTGGCACCCCGCATGGCTGCAGCGACTTCGTGACGCCAGAGTCTTTACGTTTCTCTCTGTCTTTTCTCTACTGTGGAGGGAGCCCTCGTCTCAGGTTAGTTCCATAACAGTTCTTACTTCAGATGCCAACGAAATCCAACTGTCTACTTACTATATATGATCCCTCGTTCATATTGACAGAAGAGAAAAGTTGTAGTTTACTTGTGTTGCTATATTATAGCTGGACCCATTGAAAATCTAGCACCACAATCTTTGAATCCAACAACTTTTACTTCTGCTATTGGGTTGATCATTTTTGATACTAGCTTCTATTTCTCTCTCAGGACTGACCGCAGTGTTCTGTCGACAATCGAGCGTCGCTATAGACTCACCAGCACACAGACCGGAGCCCTCGCCAGCATGACCGACATCGCCGTGGTAACCTCCGTCATCTTCATCAGTTACTTTGGTGGGCGTGGCCACAAACCTCGTTGGCTGGGGGTGGCCCTTATCGTCGAAGCAATCGGAGCGTTTGTCTTTTCTCTTCCTCAGTTTCTCTTTTGGTGAGTATGAGACTGGGTCTTCTAGCGACCGCGACACTGAAACATGTGCAGACGAAATAGACTTCTCATCCGACTGCCACCTCAGCCAATACGCCGCCTACTTCTTCTTCATGATGGGTAATATCCTAATCGGGGTGGGGGCTGCCCCCGCCTTTTCACAATCGGGACCGTCGTACATTGACGAAATCGTTCACCCAAAGTACGTCTCCATTCACCGGGGATATTCTACATGATGGCAATCATAGGCCCGGCACTAGGCTTCGGACTCGGCGGACTATTCTATCATCTACGTAGACCCATCAGTGAACACTCATCTTACACCAGAGACCCTGGTGGGTGGGAGCGTGGTGGCTTTGCTACATCGTCTGCGGGGTTCTGTGCCTCGTCATCGCATTCCCCTTCTTCCTGTACCCTCGAGTTCTACCCAACAGTGGCGAGGTTCGAGAGCTGCGCGAGAGAGAAATGGCGCTGAGAGGTAGGACGGTGGTGAGGAGGAGAAGGGCGGAGGATCGATGGAACGTGGTGCGGGAGTTTCCCCGAGAATTGAAAAGGATTGCCATGAATCCGAGCTGGTTGTTTGTGACGCTGGGTCTGGGACTGGCGTCTGTCACCATTTCAGGGTTTGCCTCGTTCGGAGTCAAGTACGTTGAGAACCAGTTTGGCCTTACAACTTCTGAGGCCAGCATCATCACTGGAGCTAGGAGTGAGTTCCAATGTGTGCGTGTGTGCACGTGTGTGTGTGTGTGTGTGTGTGTGTGTGTGTATTAGATAAGCAGAGTTCGGAGGGAGGTGTGTTGCCATTTCGACTTGCATTTCCTGCCATGGGAGATCTTTCAACTGTAGTTCAAAAGATTGTTTTGTCTTTGTTTCACTCACATGCCTAAAAAATCATCGTAATCCTCAGTTGAGTGAGTTGCTAGGGCAAAGTGTCACTATATACTGTTCCAAACTTCATCTGTGGCACGACCAGCCTTGCGCGTGGCAACGCTCACCTCCCTCAGTGACTCTGGCTGAGTCTCAAATCTGATTATTTCCACTTGCATACACTTTTTATACGAACTACAATGTAAGATTATGTAATGAGCAATAAGTAAACAGAGTCTGCATACTAGTGTACAGGTGTTACACATCTCTATAATAGCCAAGATAGTAAATGTGGGATGTTTGTCATTCTTCACACATGCTGCTGCAAGTAATGCATTACATCTCTTCCTCATCAGCCATCCCAACGGCAGGGGCTGGTGTCATTACGAGTGGGCTGCTCATCTATTTCTTCAAGATACGAGGTCGGAAGTTGCCACTAATGGGCCTTGTCACATGTTCCCTGGCAGTTCTCACTGTGTTTGGATTTCTCATTCACTGCCCCACCCCCGAGCTGGCCGGAGTCATCGTTCCTTATCCTGATGGGTAAGTTTCCACTAGTGTAGCTACCATGGGAAACATGCAGGGGAGACTCAGTGAACAAACTTTCAGAACAAGTTTTCTCTCTGTCGGTAAGGAAAATTTCTTTGTGAGACACACACACACACAAAGGAAAGGCAGTAAGGTACAATTATTATACACAAAGACATTCACCAAGAAAAAGAACAAAAAACACAACAAAAAAAACAAACAACAAAAGATATGCTCTGTGTTTCTCTGACAAAGAAAAAAAGGCACAGACAGTGCACGAAAAGATTTTTGTGGGTCCTTTGGGATGAAAAATTCACGATTTTTTGTCTTGAGAACCAGCAGCTAAGTTCTCTCTGTGTATATACTTCTAAGTTGTTGTACTGCATTTTTGCTGTATCGTTGGCTATTCCACAGTCTCTCAGATAGCTACTTATCCAAAACCCTGCAGATCTGACGGGGCATCAGACACTACTTCCCTGGCAGCAAGTTGCACCGCCTCCTGCAACTGCACCTCCCTCGTGTTTGACCCAGTCTGTGGTGCCGACAACATCGTCTACTTCACTCCCTGTCACGCCGGATGTCCTCCCGCCAACAACGTCAGCCATTAGACGCTAGGTTTCAGAATGTTTTGATCTGTGGACCTTTGTCTACTGGCTGCTATGATAGACTGTATATACAAAAACCACAAGATTCCACAGGGTTTAACTACTATACTCTGAACCTCCACTGCGTCATGAAATTCCACACACACATGGTATTATATAGTCATAATGTGGTTCTTGTACAGACTGTCAGCCGACAGAGTTCCACAGATTGAAACGTTATGACTGATCAATAACAAAACAACTGTATAATTATACATAAGCAATGTTTAATATTTGTATGCATTTTGCTCCATGTTAAAGGAATGTGGCAGTATAATAATTATAATGGACTAAGTTTACTGAAGATGAAACCAATAGGACCCAGTGACAGAATGCAATTATGTTTCCGTCTTTTAATTATATGTATATGCTGCCTCAGTCTTAGCAGAAACATGGCAGTAAAAAACTTATAGGGCAAGTGAAAGAATAGTAACATTAGTGCCACTTTCTCTTTAAAACGTGACTCGTACATCGTCTGCAGGGATCTTTTGAGAGTTGTCTGTGTGTAAGCTGAGGCAGCTCTCCACGACCTCACCTCACCTCCTCCCCTCCTGATTACTAACAGCTCGACCAGCGAGGGGCTCTGTAATGAGGACTGCACGTGGCAACTGCAGCTCTACCTCGTCATATCTGCCTTCACTCTCTTCTTCGTGTTCATGTTGCAGATACCTAATATCACCATCACAATCAGGTATATATAGAAATGGAGACAGCGCATCTAGCTGTGTTGCTTATGCTTTTCTTTGGCACTGCAACTGTGTTCAGGTTGTATATAGATCCAATGTGTCAGTACATAGGGTTAAGCTTTAAACCAGGCTTATAGCATATGTCTCATCGTTCTTCTATAGTCATTATGTGTTGCATGATGTCATTGACTCCATACAGGTGTGTGGCAGAAGACCAGAGAACACTGGCTCTTGGTCTCCAGTCCTCCATCATCCGCCTCATCGGCTTTGTTCCTGGTCCGATCCTGTTTGGAGTCGTCTTCGACTCCGCCTGCCTATTCTGGCAGAGAGACTGCGGTCGCCGTGGCAACTGCTGGGTCTACGACAACGCGACACTGAGTGTTCGAGCCGTCGTCCTGGCGATACTGGCCATGATGTGCTACATTGTGTTCATCATACTCTGCTGGCTGTTTTATCCCAAGAGCCAGCCGTCGTCGCTAACGACTACTAATGAAGGGGCGAGGGGGACAAGAGAGAGAATGGGAGAGTTCATTGCTACACGTTGTATAGCAAGTGTCAGAATACTTTGGAGGAAAGATTAGTAGTCCAGAAATTTTAGATGTGTTGTCATGTGTGTTTGTGTGCCCTTGAAATTTGTCAACACTCGCCCTCTCTATATTGGGAGTGTATATTGCAGTTGGCGCATGCGCAGATGAACTTGCTCACAAAACCCCGCCTTTCAACGCGTTTCCTCGAGCACCAGGTGATGCGTGTCTCAACCTCAGCACTAGCGACTCAGGCGGTTCTCCTGATACTTATTTCAGCCCTCCGTCGAGATGGTGGCTCGTCCGCAACAGAACACGAAACTACCGCTTACGTAACGTACGAATCGCAGCGGCTGCCGAACCACAGTTACGTTGACGTATCTCGTCTTGACAACAAGAACAGCGTTCAGTGCCACAGTCCTCTGCACACCTGCTGCAGCGCCGCCCAGGGCCCCGACCGGGGGGACTGGTTTAATCCCTGGGGGCTTCCCCTGAAATTTATCTCCCCCGACGGTGAGGGGCCGTACGAGACGCGTCTGCCGCAATGCGTCGAATTTCGTTGCAACTCGCGCAAGGCCTGCGTCAGCGTGTCGGGACTGTATCGTTGCGAGGTTGCGGTACGACGTAACCACTTTCAGCAGAGAATTTACATTGGACTCTACGGAAACGGAGGAGGCGAGTTACGGAATTCAGTATACTATACCCTCTGTCTGTATACATGGTAGCTATATGTTTTAGTCAAAAGAGCTTTAGCTGTAGGTGCATAGTCGCATGGTAGCAAAAACTATGTGTTTCGTATTCCTTTCTCCATCTTCTCCCCTCGTTCTCCTTCTCGCTCGGTCTACCAGGTGATGTATCAATACCAGAAGAGCTGAAATTCACGGCCAAATACACCACCAATCCTCAGTTCACCCTGGCCTGTATCTCCACTGGAGGACCTGCTACCACTGTCACTTGGACACGAGACTCCCTCCCTCTCCCTTCTGCCACCTCATCCTCTCTGCTAGTTGATCAGTCGATGCCACGCTATCTACACACTCTGACATTCGCGGAGGAAGAAGAAGGAGAGTATGCCTGTACTGTGTCCAATGGCAAACCATCCACAGCCACCGAAAAAGATAACACTGACAGGTGAGTTCCACAATTATCTGCTCCTAATTGCGATGTGTGCGACTTAAATTTCCAAATTCATTTGGATGCCTTTTGTACTGTTGTAGCTAGTCCGTGTCAGGCTCTCCGTGAGCTACTAGCGGGAGACCGCGAGTAAACACGTACTAATAGCCCAGCACATCAATTAGCGCAGTTTGCCGAGGGTGTGCCTTTTCATTATTACATGACAGTGGAGCAATTTTTCCTCCCCTCTCTCTCCCACCCACGCCCAGCTCCTCCGCCTCCCAATATTCTGAGTGTGTCTCAGACAAGACCCGACACTGTGGAGCTAACATGGCAACAACATCGCAGCTATTTCGACATCACCGGCTACGTAATATCTCGCTGTCGCATTTACACCATTGATACAGTTACCACGACGATCGGTGCCATGGAGACCAGTTTATCTATTACGGGGTTAACGCCAGGCGTCACTTATATCTTCACAGTCCGTGCCATGTCAAAGACTTTACGTAGCGGACCCTCCAAACCCATCCAAGTTACTCTGGAAGAGAATGTTGAGGTTCAAAGTTCACAGTGGTGGGCGTGGCATCAGGTGTGTTTGGTGGGCGTGGTCATATTCTGTATGGTGTGCGTGGTCAGGAGGCGGGGCAGTATAGCTAGAGAGTGCAGTAACTGTCATAGAAGATGCATCATTAGTTGATGATCCACAAACTACACTAGTCTTATTATAGGGGTGTACCCTTGTATAACTAGCATCGTATTGTATTCAGTTAAACCTCTGAATAAACGATTGACAAACGCACCATCCACAAATGATATCATCACAGAGGTTACAATGCACAAAAAAACCAGTAAAAATGAGAAATTCTAATAAATTTGGACGAAATCTCTAATACCATACATACCACAGGCCAGAGCTACTGACAACAGTTAGACCGTGTGTTGTGATGAAGTGTAAACTAATTGAAGAGATGTGACCAAGTTTCTAGTCACTGTTGATGTAGGTGTGACTAAACTGGCTCTTACCACTACTTCATGTACATAGCTATAATATATAGGGGGAGAGAGAGAAGGGAAGGAGGGAAGGAGGGGATATGGTGAGAGAGAAAGGAGGGAGGGAGGGGATATGGTGAGAGAGAGAAAGGAGGGAGGGAGGGATATGGTAGAGAGAAAGAAGGGAGGGGAGGGAGGGGATATGGAGAGAGAGAAGGGAAGGAAGGGAGGGAGGGGATATGGGGAGAGAGAGAAGGGAAGGAAGGGAGGGAGGGATATGGTAGAGAGAGAGAAAGGAGGGAGGGAGGGAGGGGATATGGGGAGAGAGAGAAGGGAAGGAAGGGAGGGAGGGGATATGGTGAGAGAGAGAAGGGAAGGAAGGGAGGGAGGGATATGGTGAGAGAGAGAAAGGAGGGAGGGAGGGAGGGGATAATGGTTATACTAAAAATGAGGCTGATGTAGTATGAATTTACAAAGAGGACGAGATAGGGGGAAAGATGTAAAGTGGTAGTAAGAAAGAGGGTGAAATAGCAAAGTTCCAAGTGAGATAGAAGGACGTAGGACAAAAGGTAAGGGTGAGATATGGAAAAGGTGAAAGGTGGGGGAAAAAGAAACATTGAACAATGAAAAGCACTGAAGTGCAAACCCTCGGCGAACTGTGACGCACAATCGTAAGTAAATGCATGCGCCGTACCACTAATTGATGGGCTGGGTTTAACTTTAGCTGTTACCCGTGGTCTCTTGCCAGCTCACGCAGAGTCTGACGCGGTCTAACTACACTACTAGATAGCAAGCGAGAGGCGATACACGCCCTGCATTGCATCTTCTGGTGACTCCGAGGTACGCAGAGCACGCGGGCCGTAGTAAGCCGTTGTGTATTTGCATATTGGCTTTTTCGCGCTCTAGCTTTGCAACGGAGCGTTTTCAGAGAAAACCGTTCGAAATTTCTGACCTTCATTGCCCGTTCAGTAGGTGGTATCCTTTGTGAGACGAACAAACACCCGAGAAGTGAGATTGAGAGTAACAGACACACAGACACACAGACACACAGACCCAAGTACTGTAACCCTCGCTGCGCATGCGCGCCGAGGGTTAATGACAAAAGGACATAGGAAGCACACCAGGTAGACAGAGTGGTTGCCATGGTGACTCACTGTTATTTGAGCAGAGCCTTGATCTCGTCTGATTCTGCACAGGCCAGGTAGGAGGAGCCGTCTGGGGCCTTACCTGACTTGTCTGCTCCCTATATGGTAAGTAGACACATGACACAAGTTACTACAATAGTATCTCATAAGCACAATACGGTGACTTGTCTGCTCCCTATAATAATATAGTAAGTAGACACATACTACAATATCTCAGAAGCACAATACAGTGACTTGTCTGCTCCCTAATATGGTCACTACAGATATACACATCGGTTATTGTGTGCAAGACATTACGTCATTCCAATACTGTGGAACTCTCTACTGAAATAAGGACACCTCTCTAAGGACACAATCTATTTCCCCAAGAACAGTTCTTGCATATCATTAAACCCCTGAAATAGGGACACCTCACTCCATCTATTCTGTCCCATATTAGAAGTGTTCCACTGTATACATAGCTAATAGCTCAGGTGTACAAGCTATTTCATGCTAAGAAACTAACCAAAGATATGTTTATTTTGTCCGCTAGCTACATAAGACCTGTTTATTTAGCTGCTAACTCAGCAGTTGTTTATAAATGGTGCAGTAGCGGGTGAGAAAATCCTCGCAAGGAAGGAGAAAAACTAGACTTTTGTCAACTCTAAAATATTGTCCAGTGGCAAATTTTACGATGACTTTTGAAAAAGTATTGAAAATGCACCTGAAAGCGTAAACCTATCGCTTGCCTAATATTGTAAAAATGCACACAAATTCCACAAACATACATGCACATAGACAGTTCTTTACTGCTTTTTGTGATCTAGTGTACCAAGGTCGTTAATCCTTAGCTTTACGAGAGTAAAAGAGAAGTAATGAAAAAATTAAAATCCACTTTTTCAAAGAATAGATGATTATGCATGAATTTCAGCTTTTTTTTACTTACTTTTTCGAGAAGGACTTTCACGACATCTTTGTGACCTTCGTATACAGCAGCCAGCAGTGGAGTGATTCCAAACTTGTCTGGAGTCTGATTAATGGAGGGAGGGAGGGAGAGAGGGAGAGAGAGCAATCAATTTCACATGAATACTTTCACAAATTCACAAAATGTCAAAACCTTTGAGACTAAAAATGGACAAAGATCTGCCTCTGTTCAAAAGTCTCAGACAAAATAAGTAGGCCTGCGAAGGAGGCGAGTGAGATGTTACGTACGTTGATGTCGGCCTTTAGTTTGAGGAGAAGAGAGACTACCTCAGCCTGGCCGTAGTCCGCTGCATAGTGGAGGGCATTTCGGCCGTTCATCAGTTCATTGTTGACATTGAACCCAGGCTGATGAGGGAGAGGGAGGGAGAAGAGGGGAGAGGGAGGGAGAAGAGGGGAGAGTGAGATAAGAGGAAAGATGTAAGTTAGGAGTGAGATAGAGGGAAAAGACAAGAGTTAGGAGTGAAATACTAATGTTTGGAGAGAGATCAGGGAAAGACGAAAGTCTTGAGTGAGATAGTGGGGAAACGAGAGAAGAGGAAATATGACATCATAAAACGACTAGGCCACACAGTAGAGCAGACAATCCCAAGCAGACAATCCCAAGCAGCACTGACAGTACACAATACAATGTACATGTACTACTACTGATGACATCATAGAGAGGGATTATGTTCATTGACACGCAGCATTACATACATATGACAGTGTTATAGTACTGTTAGATGGCAGTACACATATCAAAAAGGAGTATGTTCCTATCATTATGTAGGGGAATAGGCTGATGTGTATAATAGTGTGTTATAATATGTGCTGTAGGTTTGGCAGCCTGAGGTATGGAGGGACAGTATGAAGACAATGGAGGAATGTGGCAGTGAGATGGTTGAATAGCCACACAGTACACTTCCTTTCTTACACTTGTCTCTTTCTATCTCCTTCCTTCCCCTCTCCTCCCTCCCTCCCTCCCTCTCCTCCCTCTATTCCCTCCCTCCCCTTATTCAATCCTCTCTCCCTCTCCACATGCACAGAACACTATAGTCACTAACACACACTCTAATGTAAACATAATCAGATTACATTACTACGAAAAACACACTAAATAGTATACTAACATAACTACCTCCAAAGCTACAATTATTTGGTATCATTAATAACCACTTAGCCCTTTAGCTTCTACACTAGCTTAGTACAGAGTTATTGCCATCATGTAGAGCATATAAATAATACAACCAACACTGTCTTTAGAACTACAGCAACCATAAATTTGAGTACTTCATTCTTCTATATTACACGCACACTATGCTTCCATCTCTACTGTCAGTAAGTAAAGATTTCCACAGCAAAGAAGGTACTAAACCACACCCACAGCCGGCGTGCCGCGGGCCATGTCCAATGCTACAGGAGTCGCTAGACTGCCGTCGTGGGTTTGAGGACGACTCACCTTCTTTAGACATTCTCCACGGCATCCAGGTCTCCGTTCTTGACCGCCCACAGCAACTCGTCTCCCATTTCTCTGGCTCCAGACGATCTCTGCAAGTTCAGCGACTATTACGGAAAGTTTACTGAATATGTTCATCGTAAAGATTACGTAAAGATTACGTAAAGATTACGTAAATATTCGGCATCAACTTGCCACTCCCTGCAAATATGCAGAGGGCGTAGCTAGAGAAGATGGCCGAGTTTCTTCATAACCACCCTGAGCTGCAGCCGTTCGTGCTCACAAACGTACGGCTCACTGGTACCACAATCGGCGCAGGAGCCTACGGCAGCGTGGAGGAGGTGGCCGTGCCTGGAGCCGTCTGCGCCGCCAAAAAGATTCACAACGTCTTCCTGAACTCGGCTCTCGTCCCGTCGTTCGTGAGGGAATGCCAGCTGATGAGCACCCTCCGCCACCCGAATATCGTCCAGTTTCTTGGCTTGTGTTTCCTGCCCGACTCGCGACTGCCGGCCCTCGTCATGGAGCGACTGCTGACGAGTCTTCACGACTTGCTGGACCCAGAAACCGACACCCCTCCCCCGCCCGACGCGCCCAAGCCCTTCTTCCCGCTGAGCCTAAAGTGCTCGATCCTGCACAACGTGGCATGCGGCCTGACCTACCTCCACGAGCGATCGCCGCCCATCATCCATCGCGACTTGTCGGCCAGAAACGTTCTCCTGAACTCGGGGATGGTGGCCAAGATAGCGGACCTGGGTGTGGCTCGTATCGTGCCTCGTATGCGAGTTGCAGCCACCATGACAAAGGGACCTGGAGCCATAATTTACATGCCTCCGGAGGCCATGGAAAGCAAACTTGAGGAGGAAAACGAGGAAGAGAAAGACAAATAGTCAAAGTACGATGCAAGCATCGACATCTTCTCTTTGGTGTCGTGGCGATTTTCACACTCTGCCAAACCTTCCCCTGCGACTTTGCTAGCTCCCACCTATCGCGAAGGTCGACAGCATAAGCTAGAACTGAGCTAGAGCGACGAGAGAGGTACATGAGGATGATCTACAGGCAGCTACGCGAGAAAGCAATCCTCTCCTCCAGATGATCGAGGGGGTGCCTGGACTTCCCTGAAGACCGGCCGAGCATTCGTGAAGTGCTGCATCTGTTGGAGGAGGCCAGAGCTGAAGTGAGAGACGAGCACGACAGACATGAACAAACTGGAGCTGTTGCGAGCTCTTCAGACCCAGCCCAGGACCAGGTGAGGGACTGTGTGTGATGTAGTGAGAGAGTGTGGCAGTTGACTGTGTTTGTTAACAGCGGCTACGCAGTGCAGCGAAGGTTATTGTACTCGGTCCGTTAAGTTTGTTCTGTCGGTCGAGAAGCGCGAAAAATGTTACACGGCGGGTTTGCATAATGATCACGTTGTTGTCGCCTAAATAGCAACATTGAGCGGCCAGTGTTTTTTATGCGAACGCTGTTGACTATAACAGTAATAATTTTTCTAGTGAGTTGTATGGGTGCCATTCTATTGTGTTTTGGCATGAGGTCTAGGGCTGGGGAATACGTAATATAGCAGTGTTTCTCAAAAAAATGTGTCATCCAAGGATTTACACTTCATTTCCTCTGGTATGGGGGCATTGTTATGGATGCACAGGTTTATTTGCACTTCATTGACCACGGGTGTGGCAATGTTGTTATAGCTGAATCTCATGGGACATCATTCTTTCATCCATAAACCCATGGCGCCACATTGGTATTTCCACAACTAGTGGTAACTTATGGAGTGTTGAGAGCCTTAGTTCAGGGTGCAATAATGCAGATCCGCTCTCTGTGTACCTTTGGGGCTCAGGAAATCACAACGAATGGTATGTATCGACTCCCGCATGCTATCTACTATTGTAGCTAGCCTGTGTCAGACTCTCCACTAGCTACTAGCGGGAGACCACGAGTAAACGCATACAAATAGCCCAGCCCATCAATTAGCAGTGTCGCGCATGCGCAGTTCGTCGAGGATTTGGACTTTAGTGATTTTCATTATTAGGAGAATGTTGAGCTAGAGGGACAGCTGAGGAGAAAGGAAGCAGAGTTAGCTGAGGCCCAGGGCCAACTGAGACAGAAGGTGAGTATGAGTCATGTTTAGTTGCAAGTCAATAAATTCTCTCTCTTTCTGACTGCAGGAGGAACAGCTAACAAGAACTCAGCAACAACTAGAATCCAGTGAGAGAGAGAAACAGACAGTTAGACGACAAATGCAATCCAGGAACCAGGTGAGGGACTTTATTTCAGTACTATATGCAGAGGAAGGATGAAATGTGCTACAGGAGCTCCAGCAACAACTAGAATCCAGTGAGAGAGAGAAACAGACAGTCGGCACACAGCTGATCAGCTCACAGAGATGGATTCAAGAACTGAGACAGAGAGTTAGTCAAGTCTGTGTGGAACTAATGCAGTGTAACGAGGTCCTCCTGACTGCAGGAGACTGAGTTAGTGCAGGCCAAGGACAGGGAGCTAAGAGGGAAGCAGACAGTGAGAGATGAGCTAACAAGGAAGGAGAGAGAGTTAGCTGAGACTCTGCAGCAACTGAGACAGAAGGT